GCCCCTGAAGACTTCCTGAGTTGGTTGTTCACACATGTCCCAAACAGAGGGGGGCCTGTCCCTGTTGGACGACAGAGGGGGGGACTGTCGGAGGCAAGACATGACGTAAAAAAGACAACGCAGAAGTGGCAAACGAAGCAACAGAGTTGAGCCCTATGTTGACATTTTCTTGCTTTCATATTAACGCTTCGTGCACAGAAAATATAAGTATAATATAAATGAAGTATAGCGTCAACTCATAACAAGTATTATCTCGAGACACTTTACAAAAAGCAGGTAAAATACCTTAATCTTTGTCTGTTAACATTACAAAAGAGCAGGTAAAAAGACCTTACTCATTGTTATGTTACAAAAAGCAGGTAAAAGACCTGACTTATTGCTATATTACAAAGATCCGGCCTATCCATCATGAGCACTTTACCAAAGCAGCAAAAGTTAAGAAAAAACTGACTTATTAAAAGGCAGAATTCTTCGGCCGGATCTCCGGCTCATGACGAAACAGCCTTCACAGGCCTAGACTGCGCCGGGCTTGGAAGGGGATAGGGGGAGACATGATAAAAGCACGAAGAGGGAACGAGCAATATAACATCTAAGGCTACGTGCACAGAAAATATTGGATGACAAGGAAACGTGACAAAGCACCTGTCGCATCAATCAATCAATTTTTATTCGTATAGCGTCAACTCATAACAAGTGTTATCTCAAGACACTGAAAAAAGCAGGTAAAATACCTTAATCTTTGTCTGTTAACATTACAAAAGAGCAGGTAAAAAGACCTTACTCATTGTTATGTTACAAAAAGCAGGTAAAAGACCTTACTTATTGCTATATTACAAAGATCCGGCCTATCCATCATGAGCACTTTAGCAAAGCAGCAAAAGTTAAGAAAAAACTGCCGGATCCCCGGCTCATGACGAAACAGCCTTCACAGGCCTAGACCGCGCCAGGCTTGGAAGGGGATAGGGGAAGAGATGGGATAAAATGCAGGAAGAGGGATAGGGATCAATATAAACATCCTTTATGACAGCAATGTAACCCCTAATTCATGTGGGTCCTTAGGGGGGGCTCGGCTTTTATACAAGTACGGAAAACCGTTTGGGAACCTCTGCTTTAGAATTTGTGACTCTAAATCTTAACCAATTGAAACTGGAGAAAGAGATGTCTCAAGTAGAGATGTTCTGATGCGACTAATCTCGTAGTCCTAGTTATGAGTTGACGCTATACAAATAAAACTTGATTAATTGATTTGATTGATTGATTGATAGTTGGTACAGGGTTTTAAAGGCAGACAAACTGACTAGCCAGGGTGATGACATTTAACCATTGAGTCAACTAAAAGCACACATCCCTGATCTCCACTGTCTCAAACTCAACTCCGATTAGCTTGAAACTCAAATTGGATTTGGCAACGTTGCCATTGAAGTTGGACGTGTCTCCATTGGACTAAAACCTGGCGGCTTTCTGAGTTTCTGTTTCATCTGATGTAGAGTTAACCAACATGATTCTAAAATCTGAATAAATCCATCAAGTCAACTCTTCAAAATTAAATCTCATGTCAACAATCCTGCATTAATCAAGGCATTTTTGTTACTGAGCCTCCAGCAGGCTTCAGTGTGAGGAGTTAATCCATGACACCACAGGGGGATCTGGGGCAAATTGTCCTTGAGTTTAGATTTATAGCTCACACACACAAAGACTGAAGTCAAGTTTAAAGTCTCTGCTGCATAACTCGTTGGTTTTGAGCTCGCTGCAATGCAACCAGATCGTCTTAAGCTCTGTAGTTCAGACACACACCTCACCAGCTTTACCGCCAACAAACATGTCATGACCTCCAGAGACCCGACATGTTTCAAAAAAGGCTTCAAACTGTACTTCCCGTCTTCCTCATTCTCTTTCATTTTCTTCCTCATTCTTTGATTTTCTTCCTCCTCTCTGGTTCCTGCCTCCTTCTGGTAGTAAAGGGTGTGTCAACAAAGCAGCGTTGCAACAGCTTTACTCCAATTACACAGTATATAATCCATCAATACATAATCACAAACGGAACAATTTGTGAGTAATAACCATTACAATCAGGTGTGTGTGATGTATTGTAAGAAACACTCAGCATGTTGAGTAATGACTTTTAACTAAACAAGCCGGGCTGGTTTCAAACACAGCTCTGTAAGACTTCATGTTGCAAACAAAGAAAGGGGACTTTTAGATGATTTGTTTTATAACATGTCAACTGTCTCAGGTTGTTTCAAAGGACTACATGAAGACCTGTAGTTAGCACTGCTGCTAGCACTAGAACTGGCAACTAACACCAGAGACTCACTTTGAGTATCCAAATGCCATATTTGAGCTTATAAATTCCATGTCTGTATCAGTATTGTCGAAGTGGATCTCTACAAATGATGATTTTCCCATAAAACAAAATATCAACAAAAAAAACAAACATTTTATCTTTAAAGCAGCTGCACAAGACTTTCATCTTAATAAAACTTTAATATAATAACTCAACCATACTGTGAATATGAGCAGACCAGCTTTCAGTTATTAAAACTCCTTCAAGTGTCAAAAAGGAAATGTTAAACCAAGACATAAACCTTAAAAAGTAGAGCCCGACCGATAAATCAGCCAGCCGATAATATCTATATATATACTATCGGTATCAGCTACTTTATCGCAGATATTAGTCAGTCAAAAAGGGTCTCATTGTATTACACTAGCAGTTCTCTTTCACCAGCAGAGGGCGCTGTATGGATTACAACAAGCATGTGAAGCACGTACAGTTACTATCTCTTCTTCGTAGTATATCGGTGTTTGATAGCGGCAACGTAACAAATGTGTTTATCCATCTGGCTCAAAGATCGATCTTTGAAAGATATCGGCAAATGTATCTGTATCGGATTTTTTCTCTCCCTAATATCGGTATCAGACCCAAATATCAGATATGGGTCGCGCCCTACTGAAAAGTGCAGGTAATTTGAGTGTTTTCAAACCTGGAGCCGATCGGGGCTCCACACGAAGAATAGGTGCACGCAGTTTTGCGATCACTCCACTTGATTGCTTCGGCCCAAAACAGGATGTAATGGCTGCAATATAATCCCTGCAGGCAAATGCCCCCAATTGAAGTGTGCCCACTAAAAGTGCATGTTTTTTTTTTTTGTTTTTGTCACTGACAGGCTCAGATTGTTATTCTAAGTGTCTGCCAACATTACCGAGAGGTTCCCTACAGAGAGGGACCGTTTTGTCAACAAGTGAGATAAAAGACGAAGCAGTTACACTGCTCTCTTCAAAGACACTGAACTCCTTTCACAAAAAGGACCTTCTCCTTTTTTTTGTAACCGCTCTCAGAATAGGAGGAAGAGTCGCAGGTCTACTGCTGCCTCTATCAGTTAGTTAGCGTGTGTCACCCTGATGCATGTCAGACTGTGATGCATGTCAGACTGTTAATAGATTACTGGATGGATTTCAATCTAGCAGATTTGTGAGACTCAGATAGTTTCTGGTCTACTGCTGCCTTGATCAGTTATAGTGCTTTCGCAATTGTACAAAACTCCTGAGGTTTTCAGTGTGAGCTGCATGTGTGAACTCAAACAACCACATTTTTCACCATGACTTTATCTGAAGTTTCTCCTGCCTGCCCCCTCGTATTTTTTCTCCCCAGAGAGCCTGAATGAGCTGATGTGAGAACACAGCAGGAAATTCACTTGGGAGTGAGTGGGAGGAGGGGGAGGGGGTGAAGTTTCTAACCTGTGACCGGTGCACGACCACAGACTGTCTGCACACGACCGCCGCGATCTCCCTGCACAGAATTCAACTTCTGCATTGTGTTTTATATTCTCCAGTATGTTCTGCTCTGCTCTTTTGTTGATAGTGATTCTCTTACTCTGCTGCTTCATCCGCCCCCCCTTCCACGTTGCTCTTTTTACATCATGTCTTCCCTCAGGAGAGCCGTTCCCCCGCCCCCCTACCCTCTCGTGTCCAATCAGGAGAGTCTCCTGTGTTGAGGTGTATTTGTGAAACACCAGATCAGGAGGATTTCAGGGGCAGTTTTAAATGTTTCGATCCAAACCAACACATTATGCCTAACATAAAAATAAAAAAATACGTACAAGCAGGTGGACTAGTGGTTAAATCTATTCTATTCTACACGCTCCATGTACGGAGGCTATAGACCTTCAAGCATGCCACCCGGTTTTGAAGCTGACCTGAGTTTGATGCCGACCAGTGGCTCCTTTACACATGTTTTTTTTACCTACTCTCGCTCTCTGATTTTCAACTCTATCCACTGTCCTGTCTCTTAAACAAAGGCATAAAAAAAAGCCCAAAAATATATATTTAAAAGATTAGATTTAAAAGTAAACATGCAACTCCCTGCATGGCTAGAAAATATAATTGTAGTCTTCAACATAAAAGGTCTCTCTTTCGGTTGTGATCCTTCCTGTGATGTTTTCATTCACCATAATAATAATAATAATAATAATAACGATCTGAGCCTGGCGAAAAACGAGCACTTTGTGTGGACGCACTTGGATTAGGCATGTATGCAGCCATGACAGTCTGTTGTGTGTCTGTCAACCGAAGACGTCCACTGGACGGAATCCACTACTTTGGACTTAGGGCACAGGTTAAAAAAGAGAAACGTCCTGAATTACACTGTAACTCGGGTTCCTTAAGGTAATGAATGGTAAACCTTTTACACCGTCTTTGAGCCGCTGAAGCAGAATATTCAGCCTCTCATTACTTTGATATTCTCCGTCTTATGATGGACTGACAAACACAAACTCAGTGAAGCATGAAGATCACTTTCCTTTGTGCACAGACACAGAGAGGCTTTTCAAGACGCATGAAGGACTACATGCGTTAATGCCTTAAAACGGATTAAAAGGAGGCGGGGGGGGGGGAAATCGACGACTGTACTACGACACAAAATGCACATCGAATGGCCCAGTTGTTTGTGACGGCATTCTAAAAAAAAGTCCCAATTGAACCACGCGGCAAATTGATCCACTTACCTGCAGTTTGGCGGTGGATCCAACGTAATGTCAGCCAGCTCCTTCTGAATTCTGAGAAAAGCAAAGAAAAAAAGGAAACGCGTCAAAAGCTGAGCCCGATGAAAAACTTTAATTCCAAGGAAGAGGAGGAACAGCTTCTCTGTAAAATACCTTCAGTAAAATAACCTTTTTAAAACGCTTTTTCAGGCCATAACGTTCTCAATAGCTAAAATTGTTGTGCATTGGATGGGGCGCTCAATAACTCCTTATCACACATTTTTATTCGAATAAAATGTAAAATGTAAAACAACATCTCCACCTGACTTCAAACTTAGGTAGAACTCACCTCTTAGCACTAGTAGAGAGGAGTTTGGAGGTCTTGCTCATGCTGGCTTTGCTTTCACGTTTCTTGGACGAGATGGTGTCTTGCTGTAGTTGTTGTTGTTGTTGTTGTTGTTGTTGTTGCTGGGACTGCTGCTGCTGCTGCTGCTGCTGCTGATGATGATGATGGTGGTTTGAGGATGTAGAGGAGGAAGAACTGGTGCTGGCACGGGAATCTTCATCCGACATACCGAGCCTGGTGGAGGAGGAAGACACAAGATTTAGAAAGGAACACACACACACACACACACACAAAACTGCCATAACCCCGTTTCTAAAAGCAAGAATCAAAGCTAAGAGTCTGGTTTAAGGGCAGATGATGACAACTTGAGTAAGACTTCACATCTTTAAAAAAAAAAAAAAAAATCTCCAGGGTGTCCTGTCAAATTCGGTATCAGCCAATACAGAAAATGCTGTTATTCTCTCGTTTCCTCCTATAAATCTTGAGCGTCTATTACTTGTTTGAACCCAATTTGATTTCGAGATTTTGTAAACTGTACAACTGTCTGATGGTAAAGCTGCATGCCGAATTAAACAGCAAGTCCTCACGGATACATTTCCAATCACGTGTCTTGTTCATAACGTTGAATTTGATGCCGATTAAGCGATTGAACCTTAAATTTGAGATTTCTCAAAGGGAGTCTTGCGGACTCTTATCTGTTAATGTTAACGACTTCAGTGCTGTGACCATAAATCCCCCCCCGATGCAGCCCGGGACTCCATAAACGCTTCCGTCGGTTTAACTACACAGGCCTGGACCTGACGTTGACCCGGGTCAACTGGATCCATCAGTGTAAATCCCCCCCCCCCCGATGTGTGGATGTTATTAAAGTATCCGTCTTATCTCCGGAGCGTTTCCTCCTTCTTTCACTGACGCTGAATTCTGACCTCGGCTGATGTTTCTTGCAGTCGGGCGTTATTTTTAGCCTTGCCGAGCTGCGACAAAGGAAGCGATTTGGTGAAATAGTTCGGCTAAAGGCCTAGTTCTGCCTGACACCACAGGGGGTGGAGGGGGGGGGACACGACACGCCAGACCTCTGCTCCGGATCGAGGCGAAGAGGTCGGGACTGGAAAAGCAGAAACACATCGACGGGGCGATGTCGCAGTCGGCGGCGGTGGGAGAGAGAGCCTCGAACACTTACAGAAAAAACAACAAAAAAAACACCTCAACAATTTCCAGGCGAATGAAACTTTCACCTGAACAAGTCAGCGAACACCTCCGGCCATGTCAACACATATCCGACGCTTTGAAACGCAATGCAAAACAAACACAACACGCCGTTTTGTTGCTTAAAGGGATTCCACGCGTTTTTTTTAAAAAGCGATATATCCGTCGACATGCAGCTGATCTCAGTGCAGCCAGTCACAGGATGGACCGACTCCTAAAAAATTCTCCTTTGAAGGCAACACGGATGCATTCACGGTCCCCCCCCGCCCCCGAACACGCCATCTAAAAGACACATATAGCATTGAAGCGTGTAATAGTATGCGCTGTAATACAAATATTGAGTATTTGATACCTTTCTTTGTGTGTGTGCACAGCTTATGTGTGTGTGTGCCTCCCTCCGCCGCCTGGACGCACCAGTGTGTCAAGACAGCGACGACGAGGAGAAACACAACTTCCGGTCATCATCTAAGAAATAAAAGCACCGATAGGCAGACCTGTCGTTTCGATGAAGACGCGAAAAGACAAGAGAAAGGTTAATAACGCTGAAGTTTAGCATTAGAAGCAAACACAAGGAAAGCCTATTATGTAACATTATAAAAGTGTTTACCACTCACAAAACTAAAAGTAGAAGAAAAGGTAACACAAGATCAACAACGCAAGGTATGCCACATCTTTAATTTATAAGGTAGCTTTTTATGACCGGACAAGTCACAAAAATAATAATAATAAAAAAAAATCGCAGCGTGTATTTTTGGTTGTTGTTTAAAGCAAAGAAATGCGGAAAATCTTAGAAGATCTTGCCTGTGCCTGAATGCAAATCCGTCTGTAATCCCGATACTAATGACTTGGCTCACACTCAAGTTTTTCAAAGTCATAGATTTTGTTACTTGTGTTTGAAAACTGAAACTAAAAAATAAACTAATTTGGAAAAAGTCTCCTAATTGAATTTTCTGAAACAATTTAATTTCGGCCTATTTATATATATATAATAAAAAAAAAACATGTCAAAAGTGCCACTGAGTGATGCAATGGGCATTTAATACTATCTCAGGAGACTCTATGTAGGCTGATCGGATCCCCCTATACGCCCCTTTTAAGAAAGACAATCCGGGTTATAATTACAATTCGCTTAGCAGATGCTTTTATCCAAAGTGATGTACATCAGAGAGTAAGTACAACACTAATCAATTCATACACCTCCACTGAAGCAGCGGGAGCAACGTGGGGTTAAGTGTCTTGCCCAACAACACATTGCTTGGTTGGGGATTGAACCCTTGCCCTTCTGCTTGAAAGGCAACAACTCTACCAACTGAGCCACAGCCACAGGGGGTTGCATTAAACATAAGCTTAGAGTTTCCCTTAAGTTGTTTTGCTTTTTTTTTAAATTGTTTTGAATTGTTTGTTATCTTTAAGAATGGTTTGTGTATGTTTGCGGTTGTTTCAGATCTTTATTTGTCATTGATGCCTGTCTCCTTGTTTTTATTGAGGCTCTCTGTGTTTTCATTTAGCATGTTTCATACTTGTCTGAGGTCTTGTATGTGGTTATTTTATACTTCTAGTCGCTGATTCTTAGCCCCCCCCCTCGAGGTTTGGTGCTTTTATTTTGTCAGGGCTCAACAGGCCTGTATCCGGTGATTCACGTGAACTTGACGCTGTCGCTGGGCGCGTGCCTCCTCTCGCCGGAAGTGTTGGTCCAGCAGCAGACAGGCGTCCCTGACATTGTCATCTACATTCATCTCGTTCTTGTCTTTGAACAGAGTCTGTGTGAGAGGGTGACGCCGAAGAATTGTCAAAGAGACGACAACATTTAAAAAAAAAAAAGACAGAAATTACGTTTTAAAAAGAATCACAAGCTAGAAGCATTTATTTAAGCCCATTATCAGGAAAGAAAGCCCTTTAACCCAGACCTGTCTTAATGTGAAGACTTAATTTACTTACTCTAACCTCACTGCCACGTTCCTCCTGCTTATTTACATCCCTGCTGCCTTGGATACTCTCGCCTGCTTGTTAATATTAATTATTGAAAGTGAATGTTTAACTTCTATCTATCCTACCTAAAACAAGGGCAGAGTAGAGTGACAGTTTTAAAAGGCCATTATGCCGCACGCTGAAGTGGCCTGGCATGTGAAATGGGCTGTTGGTTAAATTAATGTTAAACAAAGTGGCTTTGCAAGAGTTACAGATTCACACTTTTGTCACATTTTTGGAGCACTCGGCTAACTCTCCTGAAGTCAAACGCATCTTCAGAGACAAACGGCAGAGCGCTTTCAACCAGCTCTTACTCATTTTCATTTTTTTTTTTTTTGTGCGAGAACTGTGGAAATAAATCTGTATATTTTGTAATTGGTACCCAAAGACCATTACAACTTTCACTGAGGTCACTAAAGTTTAATCCACCACTTCAAATACTGAGCAACATTTTGAGTTCCTTTAGTGTGGAAAACTTTACAGACCGATAAAGCTTTTCTTCTTAAATGTATGCAGTGTGAACATTTTAGATATAATCTCTTTCTTTAAATTAGCTTATTCATGGATTACATGTTCAGCGTTTTTTATTTTTTTTTTTTACGTTATTGCACCATTAGTGTTAATTTTTGGTAATATAAAGTGTATATAAAATAAACATTCTGCAGACCAGCCACTTTTTTATTGACTCTAACTTTGGCCTTCTCAGTCCTATTGATCACTAACCTCTCATTGCAAATGTTGCATCACTTTCTATGCATCAGTGACTTCTGCCTTTTCCCTCTCCCTCCCACCACAGAGTGTGAGGGGTAGGTGGAGGTGGGGGGGGGGTCAAAGGGAGGACGATTCCCCCCCTCCCCCTCCCAATGTGTCAACCATAATTAACTCTGCCACTGTTGCTCCACTTTGCTGGTTTTGCAACGTACTCCGAGCGTTAAAAAAAAAAAAAAAAAAAAACCACAGAAAAGCTTTGTCTGCTGCTCAGAGCTAGGCGGACACGTCTGCTGTGAAAAGAAACATCAACAAGTGTGAGTTTGTTCTCTGGTGGATTCTGTTTTCATACACACGGAGGCTGCATCACACAAAACACAAACACACTCTCATAAATACACAAACACACACGCAAACAACAGCTACTTTTTGCGGCACACTCAACTCTCCTTTCCTGTTCCTGTCGCAAGAGGCATTCTGAGAAATGTAGGAATCGGGGGGAAAAAAAGTAGGAATTGACTCAAGGAGAATTCATTGCAGGTCCTGTGATGCTTTCAAGCGGCAACCGGATAGATTAAGCCATGAGGAAGTGCAAAATCCTGAAGTTTGTCGAGTGTCCGCTTGAGGCTGGCTCCAGGAACCCTGAAAGTCACAAACACACCACAGGCAAAAAAAAAAAAAAAAAAAGCAGCAAGCTTTGATTGATATTGTGAATCTGTGGAGCTACACATAGCATTGATATGAAGGCAAATATTCTTATTATAGAATCGTACAGCTGACTGTTGCTTCGTCCTCCATTTCCATGTCGTTCTTTTACATCTCGCCTCAGGAGAACAACCTGGATAGTCTCTGATGTGATTGTCTCCGCTGTGAGGTGCATGTGTGCACAACAACATCAGCAGGATTTCGAGGGCAGCGCTCCTGAAATTCTCTTGAAATGCTCCCGGAGTGCACGGCTCTAAACGGTTCTTGTATAAGCCCCTCAATCTCCAGTAATAACTCCTGTTTCTATGGAAGACTATTTCCCCTGAAATCAGGGTGTGTAGGAGTTCACGCTCAGGCTTTCATGTCTGCAGTTAACAGTCCAGCTGCTTTCATGCAAACCTGCAGCACATTAAACCTGGACTGTTCCGTCCACACGAGGTGAGCTTGACATAATGTCTGCGCTGCTTTCCTTTGAGGGGAATGGTGTTTGAAATGTATTGCCACTTAGTGCTTCGGCTCAAAGCTGCAGACTGAGGAAATGTGCCATTTGAACTGAAGTTATGAGCGAGCAATCAGGAGAGTTGTGCTCTTTAGGACATTTCTAATTCATTACCAACACATCAGGGTTGGACAATTAGAGGAGAGTGTCAAATAAATGTGAGAAAAGGTCAAATACAGCTTGATGTAAGAATGGATATTGTATGGTTATATAATAATTTAAAGACACACCTCTCTGGTCCTATAGGATGATTCAGGAAACACTTTTTTTTTTTAGAGCAAGTTACGAAGCTAATTTTCTCAGCTTTTTAGGGCACACTCACACTATGCAAAGATTTCCCGTACCGCGCTTTAGCACGATTGCCCCCCCCCCCCCCCTCCCCATTCCCCCGCTGGCCTGCACTCACTCTTCTCCAGGGCTAACCGGGCCTGAGAACGGTTCCATCAGTACATAACGTCGTAATGCAACACATGCATGGCTCTATGTGATCATGATGCGTGCTTACATTGACAAACAGGCGTACTCGAGAGAGAGAAAAAATAAGGGATCCACGTCCGTACTACAGATCACAACATGGAGAACTTGACTACTTTACTTCCTCCAGGCGTGCCAGAGCCAAGGAAGAGCACTCACACCAGTCAGATGAACTGGATTTTAGGGGTTAAAAAGTGCTTGGGCACGGTACGGATTGCCTAGTGTGAGTGCGCGCTTAGTTAAAGGCAGGGTTCTCCAGATCCACTTTTTAAGATTCTGGTTGAAATTGTCTTTAGGTCCTGACAGACATTAATAACTCATGTTCTCTGAAAAAGGAACAAAGAAAATCCGTCATCTGTAGCAGTTGTAAGCCTGTAAAAACTTCAACCAATGTCTGCCATGAGGTACCAATCTGATGAACCAATCAGGCGCCTCCCTGTCTCCCTGCTCGCTCTCTACCCCATGCATGCACTAGCCCACACTCAGAGTGCATGTAAGTGAGGGGGCGTGGCTTTCAAAATCAAAATAATGGGTACAATGAGGATAAATGTGCAAAAAAACCCAAAAAAAAACAGACGTGTAACAGTAAGACATCTTTCATTAAATTCAACTCTGAATCGACCTTAGTTTTGGAAATAAAATGAAGAGGCAACAAAAACCAGAGCTCTCCGAGTTGTGACCTTGGAAGAGCAGCACGTCTTTTTTTTTTTTTTCACACAGTCCTGCTGATGCTTGACCACGTCCTTAGCTAACAGGGGCATCAAAGCATTAAAGTCAAGACCATCAGAGCAGAAAGCGTTCACCTGAACGGACAAATCGAGGTGCCTTTGTGTCGTGCAGAGAGCAGGAGCAGCATTTGGATTAAGCAGCACGAGAAGAGATGAAGCCCTCCGTTCAGCGT